CCAGACTGTAATTAAAATCCGAATCATCATAAACTTGAGTCTACTTAAAATCTGACCTGAGCAATGTTGGCTTGAGATGCCAAACGAATCATGATGTCCAACTTCTCTAGTTTAACATAGATGGGATCATTGTACTTCACAAAGAAGACTTTAATTTCCTGCTTCAAGATTTCAGGCCTGTGGTACACAGAAACACAAGAAAGGAAGGTGAAGGCATATATTGACATATCCTTTTGAGTCTGTATTAATATCTAATCTCTACCCTCCTCCCACTCCCCCCCAGGGGAAAAAAAATGCACAAACTTCCTCTATACCTCTCTATTCTTAGCACGTCCATTTGGCAGACTATTTTTGTCTTTTTTAAGCATCAGGGTACACATTGCCCCGAAGAACTGGTAGAACAACAACAATCTGGCTCTAAACTATAGCCTAAACCATATCAAGCAGGCACCAGATAGTATAACAGAAAGAGAATCTTCAGAAAACAAACTGAATTGTAGAGAACATCCGGTATTTATTAATATTATAGGAACACTCTGGTATCAACTGTTAGCCTCCTGATCCTGGTCAAGTTGTTCTGCCATATAACATTTTCATTTTTGTACATTAAAAAGATATTAACACCGGCCTATCTGACATTGAAATTATTAAGCTTAATTCAAAATTACAAACACTTTAATCACCATTCACTACTTCCTAACCTTTTCTGGACAATTAGGTTGATGTTCCTCAGGGCGACATACTGCACTTCTGGTTCCCCAGACAGCAAAGTGACAAGAGGAGGGGCTAACTTCTTCAGCAGCATATTGTAGTAGTCAGAGTCCTTGGGTAACAACTCCAGAAATTTCATTAGGACTTTTACTGCTGAAAGCACCACTGCTGAGTTGGCATGAGATAGCCGGGGAGTTACCCGCTCACAGATGCTAAGGGCAGAAAAGGAAAATTAATATCTTGAATTATAATTTCTTTGCTCAGTCCATTCTATAAGGTAATGTGTCAGAGTCCCATGGCCCAAGAATCAAGAAATTAAAGAGTCAGTTAGAAAAGTCAAAGCTCCATGCTTAGGTAAAATTGGGATCCACCACTGCAGAAGCCTCATTCCCAGCAAACTACAGACAGAGCAAGGGACATCAGAAGACTTTAGGAAACCAGCAATAAGGGATGTTCAAACTGGAAGAAAACTAGTAATACCCCCAAACACTTGAGCTCACACCATTTACCTTCTTGTTTTATAGTCCTCTTTCTCTCCCCATATTATGTTAGGTCTCCCTGCCTCACAGCCCATTTCTACTCAACCTACAGGCAGTCAAATTAAGCATTCTGAGAATTATTTCATACTGACAGATATCAACTCAGCTGTGACTAAAGGTTTCATTGGAAGATACAGGAGGAGGTGGGTTAGCAGGGTAAATAATCCAAACCCCCTGCCTTCAGGATAGTAAGTGAATCTCTGAAAGGGTTCGGTTGGTTTGTTTCTTACAATAGCAGAACACCATTGCAATATTCTCCCAACTTCTTCCTCTTCTCCTATCCCCTGCCACCTATACTTATATGCCTCATGAAATCTTGGATAATTATCTGTTGATCATTCTTTAGAAATCAACCTAATTTTGAGTATTGTTGGGCAACACATATAGTTAGTTTACTATATTAAGTTAAGGATACAAGATAAGTAGGCTATGTTTCTCTTTCTTTCTCTTACATCCACTTAAGCTGACTCCTGGCCTCCTTCAGGTCTTTATACAAATACTACCTTCTCAGTAAGGGCTTCCCTGGCCACCTTTTTGTATTTTATATATTTCTTATTTTTATTTTTTTTAGAGACAGGGTCTCACTCTGTCACCTAGGCTGGAGTGCAGTACCATGATCATAGCTCACTATAACCTCACACTTCCAGGCTCAAGTGATCCTTCTGTCTTAATCTCCCAAGTAGCTGGGACTATAGGCACATGCCACCATGCTTGGCTAATTTTTTTTTTTTTCTCTACAGAGATGGGGGTCTCACTATGTTGTTTGGGCTCCTAGCCACCTTTTTAAAAAAATACAACCCCTCACCCCCAAACGCCCAGCATTTCTTAGATCTCTCCCCTACTTTATCTTT